CAGACCCCACAAAGGACCCACTGGAGGATTTCAAGTTGGGAAAAAGGGTCTTGCAGGTGGAGGGAAGCATCTTTGTGTGGGCTTAGCAGGCCACAGGCTGCAAGGAGGCCATTGAGCAGGTGGTGAGACCCTGACCCCTTCTCCCCAGCTACCATATTGCCTTTGGGCCCGTGGTGGACGGCGACGTGGTCCCCGATGACCCTGAGATCCTCATGCAGCAGGGAGAATTCCTCAACTACGACATGCTCATTGGCGTCAACCAGGGAGAAGGTCTCAAGTTCGTGGAGGACTCTGCAGAGAGCGAGGACGGTGTGTCTGCCAGCGCCTTTGACTTCACTGTCTCCAACTTTGTGGACAACCTGTATGGCTACCCGGAGGGCAAGGACGTGCTTCGGGAGACCATCAAGTTCATGTACACAGACTGGGCTGACCGGGACAATGGCGAAATGCGCCGTAAGACCCTGCTGGCGCTCTTCACCGACCACCAATGGGTGGCACCAGCTGTGGCCACCGCCAAGCTGCACGCCGACTACCAGTCTCCTGTCTACTTTTACACCTTCTACCACCACTGCCAGGCGGAGGGTCGGCCTGAGTGGGCAGATGCAGCACATGGGGACGAACTGCCCTATGTCTTTGGTGTGCCCATGGTGGGTGCCACCGATCTCTTCCCCTGTAACTTCTCCAAGAATGACGTCATGCTCAGTGCTGTGGTCATGACCTACTGGACCAACTTCGCCAAGACTGGGTGAGGGTCAGAGGGGCTGGGCAGGAGGGGTGGGCAGGGCCCTCCTCCTTCATATGGCTGCCATCCCTTTGTTAAGGCACTCTGGGCTGCCCTCTTGCTCGAGTGAAACTAACCTAGACACCTCTGTGCCAGGCATTGAGTTGAGAGTGGGAGATTCAGCAGCATCAGGCAGAGAGACCCCTGTCCTTTCTGGGAAGTGGGGGGCCCACTCAGTGGCTTGGTGTCCATTCGTCCCTCCTCTTTGCCTGACCCCCGCCCCCCGTCCAGCTCCGCTAGGGCTCGGCATCTCTGGCTGGCTGCTCAGGTGTGTGTGTCTGAGTGTGTGCAAAGTTTGTCTCTGTCTGTTTCTTTATTTCTGTCTCTGGAAATCCATGGACAGCTCTCCCCTTCCCTCTGCTCTCTTTGGTCTGTTTACTTTTTGCTGTTTCTGGCTGCCGGCTGATTTCAGCCTGGCTGTCTCTCTGTCTCTGGCTGTCCCTCCCGTGTCTTTGACTCTATCTCTGTCTCATTCAGTCTCAGTTTCTGCTTCTCCCTGGCTATCTCTGTGTCTGTCCCTGCCCCTCTGCCCACATTTCTGGCTGTCTCTGGCAGTTTGTCTCCATCCCTATTTGTCTCTCTGACTTTGTCTCTTGCGTTTTTTTTGTCTCTTCATATCCATCTGTGTCTCTCTGCCTTGGTGACTTTTTCTCTGCCTTGGTGACTTTTTCTCTGGCTTTCCTGCTCCCCCCCGTCTGTCTGCCTCCCTGCCCACTGCCACCCACCCTTCTTCAGAGCCTTGCCCTCACTCCTCCTTTCCCTGCCCTCCTGTGCCCACAGGGACCCCAACCAGCCAGTGCCACAGGATACCAAGTTCATCCACACCAAACCCAATCGCTTTGAGGAGGTGGTGTGGAGCAAATTCAACAGCAAGGAGAAGCAGTATCTGCACATAGGCTTGAAGCCACGTGTGCGTGACAACTACCGCGCCAACAAGGTGGCCTTCTGGCTGGAGCTCGTGCCCCACCTGCACAACCTGCACACGGAGCTCTTCACCACCACCACGCGCCTGCCTCCCTACGCCACGCGCTGGCCGCCTCGCCCACCCGCTGGTGCCCCGGGTACACGCCGACCCCCGCCGCCCGCCACCCTGCCGCCCGAGCCCGAGCCTGAGCCAGGCCCAAGGGCCTACGACCGCTTCCCCGGGGACTCGAGGGACTACTCCACGGAGCTGAGCGTCACCGTGGCCGTGGGTGCCTCCCTCCTCTTCCTCAACATCCTGGCCTTTGCTGCTCTCTACTACAAGCGGGACCGGCGACAGGAGCTGCGCTGCCGGAGGCTTAGCCCACCTGGTGGCTCTGGCTCTGGCGTGCCCGGTGGGGGCCCCTTGCTCCCCACTGCCGGCCGCGAGCTGCCACCAGAGGAGGAGCTGGTGTCTCTGCAGCTGAAGCGGGGTGGTGGCGTCGGGGCGGACCCTGCTGAGGCTCTGCGCCCTGCCTGCCCACCCGACTACACCCTGGCACTGCGCCGGGCACCGGACGATGTGCCTCTCTTGGCCCCGGGGGCCCTGACCCTGCTGCCCAGTGGCCTGGGGCCACCGCCACCCCCACCGCCCCCGTCCCTTCATCCCTTTGGGCCCTTCCCCCCACCTCCCCCCACCGCTACCAGCCACAACAACACGCTACCCCACCCCCACTCCACCACTCGGGTATAGGGGGCGGCGTGGGGAGGCCCTCCTCCCCGGCCCACCCTAGCCCGTCCCCTCCGAAGGCAGGGAGGAGGACTTGGCGACTGGCTTTTCTCCTGTGGAGTCGTCACGTGCCGTCCAGCAGCGCAAAGGTGGACATGGGACTCCTCACTGCGACATGTGCTTTCCCATGTGGAGAAGCCCAGTCTCCTCTCTGGACCTGGGCCTTTGAACAACTGGGGGGCGTTTTCTCCCCTCCATTGGGACACCCGTCTTCGGTGTGTGGAAATGTGGAAGTATTTTCCCAAGTGAAGGTGTGCTTTCTCAAGGGGGTGTGTTTTCCCATGTGCAGGGTGAGGTTTTTTTTGCCACCCTGGACACATGTTGGCCCCCTCAAAGAATTCCTGTGGGGATTTGTACCCCAGAATCCTGTTCCTTCATGCCTTCTCCCACCTCCTCCCCTCCCTTCCCCTGGAGACCCTGGAAGTGGTATGTTCACATGCAGTGACCCTTGGCCACCAGACCACAGAGGGTGGAGCCTGGGAAGCAGCGAGGAAATCACAGCCCCCCTCGACCCTGCCTCCCCTGCGCCCCACCCTGGTGAAGCATGTTCCCCCGCCCCCCCCCCGCACCTCCTTTTGGCACGAGTCAGATGGAAGCACGTTCTCCAGGGAGGCCCTCCCCTTCCACAGAGGACAGGCACAGATTTCCTGCCCGGGGGAGGGAGGAGTCCACGCATCCCGGTGCTGCCTGGAAGCTTCTTTTCCCGTGGCCCAGGGCACATATCTGAGTGGAAACATGTTTTTGCATGTGGATGTGTGTTTCCCAGGCAGGTGGTCCCTCCCTCCCCAGCACTTCCCTGCCTCCCCCAGGCCTCACGCCCAGCACTCATTCCCTCCTCTCATGGCAAGTGAGCACAGACCTCTGGTCCACAGGAGCTGAGGAGGGTGTAAAACCCAGAGGAAGGCCCCCCTCTCTCCCCAAGAGATGAAGAGGTGGGGGGAGGGGGCATGGCATGTGCGGCCCACAGAGGCCCTGCACGCCTGACCAAAGCCCTCGGCCCTCATGGGGGCAAGGACAGCCTTTTCCTCAGGCCTCAGAGCACTGCTCAGCTGTGCCAAACCGGGTAGGTGGATTTGAGCAGAAAGACCCCCAAAATGTGCCAATCATTTCCCAGTTCCAGGCAGGGCAGGAGAAACTAGGGCAAGCAGGATACAGAGTGAGGGATGTGGTAGGTTAGGGGGTCCCTTCTGTGGCCCTTCTCCTGGCCGCGTCTCCCCGGCCCTGCCTCAGTTCCCCGTTCCTCTTCATCTCCATCTCCCTCTTTGAAGCTGTCCCCATCTCAGCGTCAGACCAGCCTTCTCCTCAGCTGACCACCCTCCTTCTCTGACCCCCGCCCCCTCCTTGGCTGAAAGAAAGGAGCCTTGAGGGGCCGAGGGGAGGCAGTGGGGAGAAAAGTCTCATCAGGCAAATTGGGGAGAATGAGGTCAGCGGTGCTGAGGAACAGATGGAGGGGCAGTGGGGACGGAGCTTGGGCAGACACAAGCAGGAAGAATCTGAAATGTGTGAAATGACTCCTTGGAGGGCCTTGGGTTTGAGCCTCTGGGGAAAGAATGACGTCAGGAAGGGGTAGGGGATGCCAGTGGGCAAGGGGAGAATCCTCATCTGCTGGCATTTTGTGGGGTGTTAGTGCCAAACTTGAATAGGGGGTGGGGTGCTGTCTTCCACTGACACCCAAATCCAGAATCCCTGGTCTTGAGTCCCCAGACCTTCGCCTTATGACTGTCCCTTCTCCTCCTACCTCCATCCATGGAAAATTAGTTCTTTTCTGATCCTTTCCCCTGCCTGGTCTAGCTCCTGTCCAAACAGCCATGCCCTCCAAATGCTAGAGACCTGGGCCCTGAACCCTGTAGACAGATGCCCCCAGAATTGGGGCATGGGAGGGGGGCTGGGGGACCCCATGATTCAGCCACGGACTCCAATGCCCAGCTCCTCTCCCCAGAACAATCCTGATAATCCCATGTCCCTACCCCAACCCTTTGCGGCTCTGTACACATTTTTAAACCTGGCAAAAGATGAAGAGAATATTGTAAATATAAAAGTTTAACTGTTGGTTATGGCTTCTCTGTTGTGGGGAGGGCGGTCTCTGAAGAAACAAGCCCCGGGCAAGTGATGGGGGAGGAGGGGTCCTGACCCCCAGCCCTGCTTTTCAGGGACCAGCTCTGAGGCCTGAGAGGGAGGGGGAGTGGGTCAGGGGGTCTAGTTGCCATGGTAACGGGTCTGTTTGGCAAATGAACTGTCTGTGCCGAGACTGGAGCCTGGGGTCGTTCTATAATAGAAGGAGGGACAAGGGCTGATGGGGGCAGATGCCAAACAGGCCAGAGGCCCAGAGGGTTGGTTCAGGCAGCTGGCTCAGCAGAGGCCTGTGAGGTGAGAGGCGTGGCCTCTGCCAAGGCTTGGGCTCAGGTGGGAGGAGCAGCCATGGGCCCAGGATTCAGGGTGGCCCCGTGGCACACTGTAAGGGAGTGGCCTGGCACCATTGTGACCCGCTCACTCCCAGGACCCTGAGGGACAGTCAGGCAGCCAGGACACTGTGGGCACAGTGGGCTGGGGGCCTAAGGGCCCTGGTGGCCCTAGGGACCCCATGGCTATGGCAGAGCGGCCGAGGCCCGAGTGGGCCTCATACCACGACTGCAACACCAACAGCTGCCAGGACCTGGGCAACTCTGTCCTGCTGCTGCTGGGCCTCATCATCTGCATTAACATTGGCATCAATATGGTGACCCTGGTCAGGGTGGGGCCTGGCAGGAAGGAACTGGTGGGATATGAGGGCTGGGCCTAGTGTCCAGGGCCTGCATAGGATCACTGTGTCTCCCCCATCTAGCTCTGGAGCCGACTCCGTGGGGTCTTACACCAAGCGTTCCACGATATCGTTTGTGAGAAAGGTGAGCAGGGCTGGGGGCTGGGCATAGGAGAGGCAGAAACCAGGTGCTCTAGCCTCAGCCCTGAATTAGCCCCTTCCCTTCTTGCTCTTCCCTCTCAGACACCAGAGCTGTGCAGCTGCCCTCCCCGGGCCCTGCCTCTCTGTTCCTGTAGGAGCTGGCCTCCCCAGTAGTCTCACCTCTCCCCATCCACAGAAGCTCCTAAGTCATCCTTACCGGAAAAGCAGTCCCAGCCCTGGAAGAAGCAGAGTTCCCATGCAGTCCATCTTCGGTGCACCACGGACCCTGTGACGATGACTGTGACCCCACCCCCCACTCGCCGCCGGCGCCGTCGAGGCTCTCCCACACGCTGCACTCACCGCCCAGTAACTTGGGCTCCTGACACTGACGATGAGAAGCCCCAACATCAGTACCCAGCCATCTGCTGCCACCACTGGGATGGCCCCGAGAACTGGGAAGGCTTCCAACCCACTCAGGGGACCTGGGTTCCCTGGACTCGGGATGCCCCGGAGCCCCCTCCCCAGACCATCCACTTCCAGCCTACCATAGAGGAAAGGCCCCTCAAAACAGACATGAGGTCCGAGCTGAGTCTAAGGGCCTATGTGTATCCTGTGAACCCCCCACCTCCCAGCCCCGAGGCTCCTAGCAACAAGAACAGTGGGGAGGGGGCGGTGCTGGAGGCAGAGGCGGCTCAGTGCCAGCCTGTCCACCCTCCCACCCTGGGCCCAGCAGTCGTCCCTGAATTTTTCCGGCGCCGCTCCTCAGGCCGAATAGTGTATGATGCCCGGGACGTGAGGCGGCGGCTTCGGGAACTGACCCGGGAGGTGGAGGCCCTGTCCCGCTGCTACCCAATGCCCTCTGGATCCAGCACTGCCGAGGCGACAAGCAAGAATTGGGTGTACCGTTCCCTGACTGAGAGGTGACTGGGAAAAAATAAAAAGGAGAGAGGAGGTGATCTGTGGTGGTGTTGGAGTGTGGCTGTGAAGAGCATGCTGTCCCTGGCCACAGGGCCCTGAGCCCTGAGGACCCTCATCAACCTTTCACCCCATAGACCTGTCCCTGTTCTCAGCCTTTCCCAGGCCTTTCTTGGTTCCAAGGCTCTCATCTGCCTCTACCTTGTTTTTCTTCCTTCTTTTTTTTGTATTTTAGTAGACAGGGTTTTGCCATGTTGGCCAGGCTGGTCTTAAACTCCTGACCTCAGGTGATCTGCTCACCTTGGCCTCCCAAAGTGCTGGGATAACAGGCGTGAGCCACCACACCTGGCCATGCCACTGGTTTTTGTAGAGACCAGGTTTCACCACTTTGTTCAGGCTGGTCTCAAACTCCTGGGCTCAAGTGATCTGCTGCCTAAACCTCTGAAAGTGCTGTGATTACTGGTGTGAGCCACCTCGCCCAGCCTGTTTCCTCCCCCACCCCAAGACAGGGTCTTGCTCTGTCGCCCAGGCTGGAGTGCAATCATGTCCCACTGGAGCCTCAACCTCCCGAGCTCAAGCAATTTTCCCGCCTCAGCCTCCTAAGTAGCTGGGACTACAGGCACCACCATGCCCAGTTAACACCTTGTTTTCTTTAGTGCACAGAGAAGCCCCTAAATTCTACCCCAGGTCCCCAGGCTGTCCTGCACTAGAGAAGAGACCTCCATCTCCATGGCCCTAGCTCCTCAGAAGGCTAGTGCCTGCCAGAGTCCAGGGTTAGGCTGCAGCCACAGGTGAGGCATGGTTCCCATGTAAGCCCTGGTTTATTTGGGGAGGGATGACTGAGATGTCCAGCCCTTCACAGTTCCCCAGCCGCCCTGAACCTATTATGCCCTTGAGCAGGATTGAGGCAGAGGATGAAATATTGGGGACCTGCTCAAGGGGTACCTCACTGTAACATCACGGCTCTCTGTGACCTCACTCCTTTGATTAATCCACCATGTCACCTGGGAGAAGACCAAGCTCAGAGAAGCTAAGTGACTTGCTTATGGTTACACAGACACTGAGGATCAAGTTCATGGTCTCAGACGCCCCATCCCATTGCTGCAGAACCAGCCTGGCCCACCAGAATCTCCCACCTTCCTCAGTTCGCCATGTGGACTCAGAAACTCAGAAACACAGAAGCTCAGGCCCTGCCCTTCTCCTAGACAATTGGGATCCCTATACATGCACACACATACCACTTGGGAACAAGTGGCCACGTGCACGAGCCCAGGCTGAGGAAGCTGGACTTCACCTTCCACTGTAGACACATTCCTGGAATGTGAGCAGACAGACCGTTTGCGAATGGCCCTGCTTCTCTCATTCAACTAATGTTACTGATCACTTTCAGCTGATTCCATTCAGTGGCTATGTACTGAGCATCTACTATGTGTTTGAAGGTTGGATGGGCTTTATTTCTACTGAGTGGTTCACTGTGTAAACAAATGGCTTGCAGTCTCCAGGATGCCACTCTCACATACCCCAGTGACGCACCTGTTTGAAGTCAAACACTCTTTTTGTCATATTAACAATGACATCTATTTTGTGCTTTGTTAATTTCATGTGGTTTTTCTTTTTTTTTTTTTTTTTGGAGACAGTCTCTCTCTGTGGCCCAGGCTGGAGTGCAGTGGCATGATCTTGGCTCACTGCAACCTCTGGCTCCCAGTTCAAGTGATTCTTCTGCCTCAGCCTCCCAAGTAGCTGGGAATACAGGTGCCTGGCACCACGTCCAGCTAATTTTTGTATTTTTAGTAGAGGCTTCACCATGTTGGCCAGGGTGATCTCAAACTCCTGACCTCAGGTGATCCACCTGCTTGGGATTATAGGCATGAGCCACCGCACCCACAGGTTAGTGAGGGTGGGTCGGTGGGAGTGCAGGTGGTTAGGATGGAGAAACCATGGCTGGGGTCGTTCCTGGCAGAGGCAGCAACTTCAGTGAGGAAGACGTCAGTGTGGCAAACGGGCTGCTGGGCCCAGGGACTAGCAACACCTAGGGCTGCAGTCTTTGGCCAGGGAGAGTTGGGCAGAGATGAGAGCTAGAGGAATTATGACAGGGAAATGGGCAGAGTAGGGAGGGACTGGTACAGTAGGGTGATGCCTGAGGGGACTCTTACCATCACCTGCCCATCCAGTCACCCTAGCTGCTGGCCCCAAAGTAGCCATGGGGCAGGGCACACCAACAGGCTATGTAAGTTGCCATAATGTCTGAAAAGAACAATGAAACAGGAAATACCTTATGTATGCTTCAACCCCTGTGAAGACTGTTTCATCCTGTAACTACCCTATTTTCAGCTCTGGAACCAGGTGTGGGGTTAAGCAAGCCTCAAGGAGACCGAGGAACAGACTGAGATCTGGGTTATCTGGGGACCGGCTCCACCGAGTAGGAGCCCATGGTAGAGAAGGCGGTAGAAGGGGCTGGAAAATGGATAAAAGCTGCCACCTCCACATTGTGACACTCGCTAGCTTGCTTCATTGTGACCTGGCTCCCTTACCAGCTTGTAGCTATCTCTGGGGATTGGCATGAGTGCAGTGTGGGTTGGGGCCGGGGGTGGGGCGGGGGGGCGTGGCCCAGGTGGCCCTAGGACCCCCCCTCCATGGAAAACCAGCTATGGGATAACACCCTGGGATGTTGCAATCAATACCAAGAAAGCCCCCAGGCTGTTGAGGACATCTTATTCCTGCTGCTGGGCCTTGTCGTTCTTGTCAACATTGGCATCAACATGGCCACTATGGTCAGTGATGATTGTGGACCACCTCTGGGGATGAAGAGGGCTGAGGGTGGGAGCCTGCAGCCTGCACCTCCACCTGCATGTGCGGTCCAGACTGGGGCGGCAGCAGGGGCGGTGGTGCTGGGGGTGGAGATCCTGGCCTTCACTGTCTTCCACCCTGCCCCAGATGTGGCATGGACTCCAGAATGCCTTAGACAAGTTGATTGATTGGACTCCTCAGAAAAGTAAGTGTGGCTGCTGGAGAGGGAGGGGACCCCCATCCCCACCCCTGACAACGGCCCTAGAAACCTAGGCCCCAGTGTGCCCAACCTGGAGCTCTTCTGACAATTGCCCTGATCTCATGGACTCTTGCCTTCTCCAGATGAAGTTCAGGCCAGCGAAAGCCCCCCCAGTGGTCCCCCAAACAAGGCTCAGGACATCCACATCCACTGCATCCTGGACCCTGTACAGGTGAAGATGGCCCCATCCACGTGGCATTCCTCTTCCTCCTGCTGCCACTTCTCCAGCCTTCACAGTAGCAGTCTTCGTTGTCGCCGCCACCGCCACCGATGCCGCCGTTGTCACCGTTGCTGCTGCAACCACCAGCAGCAGCCGCAGAACTACAGACAAATCCCCCACAGGCGCTCAATCTTCCGTAACCCACATCGAGGCCGAAAGATGTCACAACTGCACCGGGTGCCCTTCTTTGATCGGGAGGACCCAGATTCCTATCTGGAGGAGGAGGACGACCTATCCTTCCCACATCCCAAGTACCCACGTTGGGGCTGGGGTGGGTTTTATCAGAGAGCGGGCCTGCCCTCCAATGTGGGGCTGTGGGGCCACCAAGGTGGAATCCTGGCCAGTCTGCCACCGCCCTCTCTCTACCTGTCACCTGAGCTACGCCACATGCCCAAGCGTGTAGAGGCCAAGTCCGAGCTGAGGCTGCAATCCTACGGGTCCCACGGTTCCCAGTCCCGACTGTGGGGCAATGTGGAGGCTGAGCAGTGGGCCATGTCTCCACCACCTCCCCACCGGCTGCCCCCTAACCCCTGTTGGGTCTCTGTGGGGCACGGCCCTTACCACTCAGTGGGCCGGATACTGTATGACTCCCGGGATCAGCGGCGTCGTGGCATGGAGGGCTTTGAGCCCCCCCCTGCCTTGGTGTCCCGGAAAGCCCGGCCCCAGGCCCGGGGCTACCGGGAGCACCACTCCCCACAGTCCCACCGGCGGACCCTGCTTTGTCACGCTCATGGGCCGTCCAACCGCAGCCCCCACCCATCCACAGAACACTTAGGCTACAGCTCCCGGGACCCCCATGAGGTGCGGTGCCGGGCAGCTGACTGGGCTGAGGCTCTGCCCGCGCGGTGTCCTCTGACTGCCTCCGCCTCCCTGACCGTCTTGGACGAGGCCTCCCACCAACGGAACCCAGCTCCAAGCTCAGTGCGGCTCCCCCATTCCTCCCAGCCGCGGCCCAAAGTCCAGGCTGCAGATCCTGCCCCACCCCCGACCATGTTCGTCCCACTCAGCCGGAATCCAGGGGGCAATGCTGACTACCAGGTGTATGACAGCCTGGAGCTGAAGCGGCAGGTGCAGAGGAGCAGAGCCAGGTCCAGCTCACTGCCACCAGCTTCCACCTCCGCCTCGAGGCCCTCTCTCCACAGGACCAGGAAACTCAACTGACCAGCAGGCGAATACGGGGCGTGGGGCAGGGCATGGAGAGAGAGGAATAAAGAGAAACAGTGTCCAGGAAACACTGTGGTGGTCTGTGACTTGGGAGTGCCACTCCTTCGGCCAGCCTGGGTCCCTGCCCTTGGCTTCCTGAAATGAGAAGCCAGTGTTCCCTTCTTGGTGTGAGGTGCCCCTTGGTTTAGTGGCTATGCACCTGCCAGCAGGCCTGCGTGGTCCGCACCATGCGCTAGTAGATCTTGCAGCAGCAGACGACAAACGACCGATCTCTGGCCACCACCCGGGCTCTCTATTTCCCCGTTCCCAGAAAGGATCAGGTCTGGATTCCGAACTCTGTCTTGAGTGGGGCTCTTTGGGATCCACTTAGCACAGGGCACAGGACCAGGCTGAGGTTCTGGATTCCAGCCAGGCCTTCCCCAGGGCCCTGAGGTGGAGGTCTTCTCAGTCTTTGGGGTGTTCAAGGGGTGGAGGGTTCAGGATTCTGAAATGAAACTGTAGGAGTGCCGGGGCGCAGTGGCTCTCACCTGTAATCCCAGCACTTTGGGAGGCCAAGGCGGGTGGATCACCTGAGGACAGGCGTTCGAGACCAGCCTGGCCAACATGGTGAA